TATAGCCAAAGACACTGAAATAGAGAACAGACTGGCAGATTTCAGAGGGGAGAGGAGAGGGAATTTCAGGGGAAAAAGGGAAGGGTTTACAGGAACAAGTATAAGGACACATGGACAAAAACTAGGGGCGGGTGGAAATGGGAGGGAGGAGGGGAGGGTTGGGTGGATGGGTTGGGATGGGAGTAGAAGATAGAAAATTGTACTGCAACAACAATTTAAATAAAATTTTAAAAAAGAATAGAAAAAAAAGACAGAGATTGTAATATTGTACTTTTCAAAAATCCTGCTACATGTAAATTAAAAGACATGCTTAAATCAAAAGGATACAGAAAGATGTAAAGAAAAGGAAAAGATGTAAAATTATATACCAGGGTAATACTAAGCAAAAGAAAACCAGGACTGGTATATTAATATCTGGCTAAAAAGATTTTAAGACAAAAAATTACCTATCTGAGGAAAATCAATAACATAATGACATGTTCAATATTATCAAGAATATACAAAATATATAGTTTATAAATGTACTTAAATTTACAGATACTTAACAAAATAACCTGAAAATATATCTCTCATAAACTTATGAAACTATTTTGACCATTCTATTAATACTAGAGAATATTTCAATACAGTCCTCTCAATTGTTAATATCAAGCAAGAAAAACTTAGTAAGAATAGAGATTGGGACTACAACATTTAATACATTTAACACATTAAGAATTTTCCATCCTAAGATCAGAGAGTATACACTCTTTCAAGCACATGAGGAGGGTTTATAAAAATTGACTCCATATTGGTCCAAAGAGCAAGTTTCAATTATATTCAACAGTAACTGAGGTCCTGTTAACCATCACAGGCCTAGGATTTCCCAGCCAGCACGGGTTGTTCAGAATTCCCCAAGGGGTGTTGAGTCCCGGCCTTGGAGCTCTGGAACAGAGTGGACTGGTCCCCATTACTTACGGTAAGAAGCAGTGTGCAGCTGTTATGACCCACTGAGGGGCAATCAGAGTCCCCACACAGGGCTGGTGACTGGACCTCAGATATAATACGTAGAACATATGATTGAGCTCTCCCGTGCCTGCGCATGGAACAGCACCTGGAACACAGAGAGAAGAGAATCAAGGGACATTCCAACTAATTAAAGGAAACAGGGTGGTTATGGAGCGTTTGGGATGCCGGTGTCAGACTATATCAATATTTACCACTCATTCACCACTACTTTATGGTACCAGAAGATCATAGCATAAAAACACAGTACTGAACACTTATCATACTTTAAAAAAAATTTTAAATTTTCACAGAAAAAAAAACTGTTGGGTAGATAAATTTTAAATTATTTTACAGATTAAGAACCTAACATTAGGAAACTTCCTTGAGGCCATACAAATAGTGTATGATGGTTGGTTCAAGGATTCAGACTTCAGTCTATCTGAATCCAAATCCCATGTGTGCCCTTATTCTCTACATGACCTCCTTACTTCTCTCCAGACATCCTTGCTCATTTCCAGTCTCCCAAAATCTTACTATGTCTTGGCTCTATCCAGAGTCTCAGCAATGCAGCCTTTCCTACATCTCCCTGACTTTTCCTACTAATTCACTGTAGGGATGTTCTGGGACCAGTTATCATGACTCCAACAGAAATGAAAATTAAAACTTTAATTCTGACATGAGAATGTAGGGAGAGATACTTGGTACAGATGGGCACTTAAATACAGTACAATGCTTATTCTCTGGAAATAGGTGCCTAGATTCAGATTCTGGCTCTATCATTACTATTAGTATGAACTTAAACAAATTATGTAAATCTCTATATCTTAATTCCTTATTTGTACACTGAGATCTTACACTTCTATTCTAGGGTTATTTTGAGCATTAAATGTGTTAATATATTTAAGTTGTTTGGAAGAATGTTTGGCATATAATGAACGTTCGATAATGTTATTTCTCAACATTTGAAAATCAATTTGGAGCTCCTTCTTTGTGTTTTTTTTTCTAGGAATTTTATTTTTTCTGACCTTATGTTTAAGTCTTTAATCCATTTGAGTTCATTTCTGTGGGTGGTGTAAGACAAGGGGTCCATTTTCATGTTTCTGCCTGTGGTTATCCCATTTACCCAACAACATTTGTTGATAAGACTGTCCTTTCCCCATTGGGTGTTCTTGGTTCCCTTGTCAAATATTAGTTGACATACATGCAGGGGGTCATTTCCAGCTCTCTATATTCTGTTCCATTGGCTTATGTGTCTATTTTAATGCTACTAACTTAGTGTTTTAATTACTATAGCTTTTCAGTATGGTTTGCTATCAGGAAGTGTAATACCTCCTGTCTTTTCTTCTTTTTCCAGATTGCATTGGCTATTAGTGGTCTTCTGTGGCTCTATACAAACTTTACAATTTTTTTCTATTTCTATGAACAATACCTTTGGAATTTTGATAGGGATTGCACTGAATCTGTAGATGACTTTGGGTAGTGTGAACATTTTAACGATATTAATTCTTCTAATCCATTAACATGGAATATCTTTCAATTTGTTTGATTCTTCCTCAATTTCTTTCACAAAAATCTCGTCATTGTACAGATTTTTCATTTCCTTGATAACATTTATTCCTAAGTATTTTACCATTTTTGATGCTATTGTGAATGAAATACTGTACAAATCCTACAAGAAAACATGAGGAAGAAGCTCCCTGACATGGGTCTTGACAATGATTTTTTGGCTATGACACCAGCAGCACAAGCAACAAAAGCAAAAACCAACAAGTGAGGCTATATTAAACTAAAAAGCATCTGTATTAGAAAAAAATCAATAAAATGAAAAGGCAACTTATAGAATGGGATAAAAATAATTTTAGGTCAGACATTGAATACAGTGTTAATATTCAAAATATGTAAAGAACTCATATAACTCAACAAAAGCAAACAAACAACCCAATTTAAAAAATTGGCAGAAGAACTAAACAGAAAAATGGGCAGATATTTTTCCAAAGAAGACATCCAAATGGCCAACAGGCACAGGAAAAGATTCTCAGCTTCGCTAATTATCGGGCAAATGCAAATCCAAACCCAAATGAGATCTCATCTCACGCCCGTTAAAATGGCTGTCGTCATGCAGCTATAAAAGTCCTCAGCAAATATTAGGGAATCAAACCTAGTAATGGATAGAAAATTATACACCAAAATGGGGCTCATTCCAGGCATGCAAGCCTAGTTTAATGTTTGAAAGTTAATCAATGTAATCTACCATATGAACAGGCTAAATTGGAAAACTTATTATGTTAATGATACAGATGGTGGAAAGCAGTTGAAAAACCCATCATCCACTCTTAATAAAATATCTCAGTAAGTTAGAAAGAATAATTACCTCAACTTGATAAAAAGCATCTACAAAACCCTACAGTTAACATCATACTCAAAGGTGAAAAACTGAATGCTTACACTTTAAGACCTCAAATAAGACAACACTGTCCATTCTCAACACTCTTACTCAAAATAGTACTGTACATTCTGGCCACTGCAACAAGGCAAGGAAAAGAAATAAAAGACAAACCAACTGGGAAGGAAGAAATATAACCACTCTTATTTGTATGTGGCATGGTTGTTTACACAGAAAATTCCAGGGAATCTACAAAAAAACTCCTAGAACATGTGAGTTCAGCAAGGTCACAGGATACATGATCAACACACAAAAATCAACCAACACTTCTACGTACTGGCAACGAACATATAAAATCCAAAATTTAAAATTCAATACCAGTTGCAATCACTCTAAAGAAAATTGAATAATTAGGCATACACTTAACAAAATATATACAAAATCTTTAGGCTGAAAACTACAAAATGCTGATGAAACAAATCAAAGAACTAAATATTCGAGAAAAGGAATGACATGCTATGTTCATAAACTATAAAACTCAACAGAGTAAAAATGCCAGTTCTGCCCAAACTAATCTACAGGTTTAACAAAATTCACATAAAAATTCCAGCAAGATTTATTGTATTCAAAGAGAAACTTATGGAAACTTTTATAGGAAAAGTCACAGGCTAAAATCATGTTTAAAAAACAGAGAGGAAGAGATCACTGCACCCACTATTAAGACTTGCTTGTCTAGACACAGTACCGCAGACAATGCGGCACCGGCAGAGGGGCAGGCTCATAAACTGATGGGACAAAACAGAAAGCCCAGGAATAGACACACACCGGTATGTCCAACTGATTTTTGACAAAGGTGCAATGGCAACTCAATAAAGTACAGCTGTTCAACAAATACTGCTGGAGCAGTTAAACATCCATAGACTGAAAACAAAATCTCCACCTGAAGCTCACACCTTATACAGAACTAAACTTAGATGGATTACAGACTTAAATATATAACTAACACTTATAGCAGAAAAAAAGAGGACATTTTCAGGATCTAGGGTTCCACAAAGAATTCTTAGACTTGACACCAAAACCCATAAAAGGAAAAATCGATCAATCTGACCTCATCAGAAAAAGACCCCCTGAAGAGAGGTTAAAGACAAGTTACATACTGGGGGGGAAAATATGTGCAAACCTCCTATCTGACAAAATACTTGCATCTAAACTATCTATTATCTACTCTCAGAGTCAACAGTCAAATAATAAAAAAAAACAACCAAAGTCTAAGTAGAAACTGAGCAAAAGACAAGAACAGGCACTTCACTGAAGAAAATATACATAGGGTAAGTAAGCATACGAAAAGATATTCAACAGCATTAGTCCCTGGGTAAGTGAACATTAAAACTAGGAGATATTGCTATCCATGTAACAGGATGGCTGAAGTGAAAAATGACGGCGAGGATGTAGAGAAAATAGCTCACTCATACATTGCTGCAGCGGATGTAAAATTGTGCAGCCAGTCTGGAAATCCATTTGGAAGTCTGCTATGAAAGTAAACATAAAATTACCATAGGGCTAGAAATTTCATTTTCTGGACTGAATCCCAGACAAATAAAAACTTATCATACAAAATGTAGCAGCTTTTGCGCTCGCTTCGGTGGCACATATACTAAACTGGAAATGACACAGAGAAGATTAGCATGGCCGCTGTGCATGGATGACATGCAAACTCGTGAAGTGTCCCATATTTTTATTATGCTGAGTGACATAAGCCAGGCAGTGAGGGACACATACCATGTGATCTCACCTTTAAGTGGGACCTAATCAACAAAACAAACAAGCAAGCAAAATACCACCAGAGACATTGAAACTAAGAACAATCGGACAGTAACCAGAGGGGAGGTGGGAGGGGGTGATGGGGGGAAGGCTTTTCAGGAACAACTATAAAGGACACACGGACAAAACCAAGGGGGGATGGAAGCAGGGGAGGGAGGAGGATATGGCTGGGGCTGGGAGGGAGTGTGGGGGGTGTGTAAATGCGGACAACTGTACTTGAACAACAATAAAAATTTTTTTTAAATGTAGCAGATGTGTTCATGGATGTCCTTCATCGGGTGAGTAATTAAACAAATTGCAGTGCATCCATACCATGGAATATACTCACCATAAAAAGGAACAAATTATTCATATGAACACAGCTTGGGAAAATCTCAAGAGAATTATGCTGAGTGGAGTCACATGAATCTTTTTAAATCATAAATGTGGCCACGTAACTCCCATATTTAAAACTCTTTAAAGGCTTTCTGTTACAACCAGGATCACTTCTAAAACCAAGGATAGAAGGCCGTCTGCTGTATGACTCCCGCTCCCCTTCCCTCCTCTGCTCTCCAGCTACGCAGCTGGGCTTCTGAACGCGTCACCCCTCACGGCCTTCACACCTGCTGGTTTCTCTGTGTGAGGGAAAAACCTCCCATCCCCTGCTGCACTTAACGTGGTTCACTACACTCGGTCTAATAAAGGTTTAGGAAGCATTACGCATTATTGAAAGATAGACATTATTTCCCCATGCTCCCATAAGAAAACTGAGGATCAGAGTGGTTAGGGTATTTGTCCAAAACCACTGAACTATTAAGCAGAAGAGCATTACTGCCTAATCACAGAGCCATACTAATTTCAGTATAGTAAGTCACTGAATTGCTCTGTGCCTCAATTTTCTCATCAATAAAATGAGAACAATAATACTTATCTCACAAAGTTGTAATAAGAATCAAATGAGTTAGTATGTAGAAAACAGGGCAGTGGCCATTATACAGGTACTATATAAGTATAACTATATATTTTATGGTGATGGTGGTAAGAGTGGTTATTATTACACATTATGTTTTAAAGCCCAAAGAACAGGATCTATTTTTTCCTTCTGAACCTTAGAGCAAAATACCTGCTGCTTTTGCTTTTTATGTCTGTTATAGATTCTGATTGCCCCTTCCAGCATCCTCTCTCCCTCCTCCCCGCTGGCGGGCCTCCACATTTCAGCCCAAGAAGGTTATCGGAAGCTCAGAGGAGGTGTCCAGCCCGTAATTGAAAAGGTTTAGTCAGGTACAACAAATGGCTGAGCCTGCACATGAGATAACTAGTGTACCACCCACGTCCCAAACTCTCATGTTCTGACCCGCCAGCTCTCCCTCTCCTCAAGCACCACAGCCTCACCCGCCCCGCACAGGGTCCTAACCAACCTGACAAAGGGACACCTTCAGTCACTCACCAGTCGCCATCAGCAAGACCACCAGCACACACTTCATGCCGATGCCCAAATCCCGTCCTGAAGCTAAGGATGAAGCGGAAACTGACGGCACGAGGCAGGTTCAGGACTTGGGACCCGGGTGGGGCTTCTGAAGGGCGGGGGAAGGTGCAGGATGGAACCAGGGTGAGGATTCTATGAAAGTCTGTCGTCTAGAGGGCTCCCCTTCCAGGCTTGAGCCTCAGGGTAAAAAAGGAACAGCACTCATGGAAATCTCCTCCGTCCAGGCGCAGTCTGCCGAGTGGGATGATGAGCTCAAGGACCTGGGCTGTATCCGCCTCATCTAGGGGAAAGAATTCCAAAGGAGTCAAGGGAACCTTCCCCGGAGTTCAAATTCATCCCAAGGTCCTTCCTTTGCCTCTCAGTTCTTTTCACCAGCTCCTGCCTCCCGGAGTGTGACTTGCACCCCTCCCTCTACATGAGGGGTCCCCACTGGCCCCTCTCCTCTCTGGGCTACTCTGATGACGCAGAGCTGTCCCCGCCCCTCTGTGTGACTCCCCTCCCCTTTATGCACGTGTCACACTTGGCCCACGCCCCTCAGAACTGCCTCACTTGCACAGATTCGTATTGCACAGCCACACCTCGTGTGAATGGAAGTTCCCCACCAAGGCCCACACCGTGGCTCCCCTCAGATCCTTGCGTGTGCCCTGACTACACTGCCCTCCCGGACACGGCCTGCACATGCTCATTTGCACACTCACTTGCACATACACTCTCTCTCTCAGCTTTCTCAGTAGCTGTCTTTTTCAAATTTATTTCTGGTGGCAAAATAGAACAAGAATATTACTTAAATAGAAAATCAGATGGCAGAATGAAACAAGAATAGATTTAGAGTCCTATAAGTTTGAGATATTCTGTGGAATGAGACCAGGGACTGATATGTCTCCATATGTATACAGAATCTATTATAACGCTAGTAGATAAAGAACTTAATAACAAATAACTTACAAACATATGAGGAAAAATTGACTATTACACACACACCATCCATCCATCCATCCATCAGATTCTAAAGTTATTTTTTCCAAAGAGAAACTTTAAGAGCAATGTCCACATCAGCTATCAGCATCCAGAAACAAAAAGGAAAACACCAAATGGGACTGACAACCTAAAGGAAGAATTCAAAGGCTAAAGTCACATAAAAAGTCATTAGTATTAAAACAAGAAAACCCAGGCTTAAGTTTGGTAGGTCTCAAAAGCAGTGTGTGAGGTGGGCAGCGGGAGAGGGGCGGCGGAGGGGAGGGGAAGAGAGGGCGATGCAGACGAGACGAGGTGAGAGTCCAGGGCAGGCCCCTAAAGCACGCTTGACGTTTGTTCTTCAGGCAGCAGCAGATTACTAAAGAGTTTTAAGAAGGAAACTAGTATGATCTCATCTGCGTTTTAGAGGGAAAAAACAGCTGAGTCGAAGAGAGAGTGTCCGTTTGAGCCACAGCAGACGGTCACAGACGTCAGTCCACGCCAGACGACTTCACGGCCTGGGCTAGGGTGGCAGCGGCGAGAGGGTAAAGGCGTGAGTGGATTTTCGAAATTCCTCAAGTGAGCATGGACTTTGGGATTCAGTGGCGAGAAAAAGAGAAATCTAACACGCAGAGGGTACATTCATCTCCCAAAAGAAGGAGGGCAGGTAAAAGAACGCATTGGAAAGGCTGGAGGAAGGAGTGTAATTCTCACATGCTGCCTTTCAGGGGCCTAAAGGAGAGGCCAGCAATGGCCTCCAAGGGGCATTTGAAGACGTGGGGTTGGGTGCCAGTGTGGAATTCAGACACACGGAGTAGTCCCCAGTGCCAACCTCCCGCACACAATGTTGTCTTTAGAGAGCTTCTCCCAGAGAGAAACCCTGCTTTTTCTGTCCTTAGCCCTCACACTCCTGGACCGGGCCTCCAAGTCCCTTCCTGGCCCACGGTATTTCCCGAAGATCTGGGAAAACAACCGCAGAGTAAAGCCTGTCTCTTTCTCAACTTCCCACCGGTGCTAACTAACCCCTGCACCCACCGCAGAAAACCTTCCACGACTCCGTGCTGTCCTCGAACCTCAGCACACAGGGTGGGGCAGGACTGGATGTGCGGTTGTGAGTATGCGAAACGGGGTTTATTCTTGCATTGTTGTTTATTCCTCCCTGTATTGTCTCCCGCATAAACAACTGTAGACCTCCTCCTGCCCCGCCCGGCGTCTCATAAACCAGCCCAACTCCACGGTGCACCTCCGTGCTCCCTGAGACGAAGGTCAAGTTCGCGCTGCCGTGTCTGGTTTTCACGTCACACCCGGGGGACTTCGTGGGAGGGAATGGGGAGTTTGCCAGGATCCATGACGCTGGTTGGTCAGCTACAGCCAAGAGGCTATGGTTGAAAAGCCGGGCATGCCTAATAAGATCTAGAGTCTACATCTAGTCTTCCCGGTCAGCTATGATTTTGAGAAAATTACTCAAATTCTCCATTTCAGTTCTGTCACCTACAGCTCTGGGGGGTGGGGGGGGGAGTGATACCAGCCCAGCCCTGTCTTCTCTTTCCAGGTCGTTGAGGTGTTGGAGTGAGATTATGGGCTTAAGAAAACCTAAAGGGTTGCAGTGATACGGAGTGTGACTGGTGTACATCACGTTAGACTAACTTAACATAGCATGACCACCAACGATGTCTGCGAAGAGCTGAGCCCAGTGCACGGCGTTCAGTAAGGGCTCCCTGGGTGTCAGCTGTTAGCGCGATGGCTCATTCTCTTGTCGCGTGCGCTCCCCCCAGTCGTCCCAGGAGAGCACGGGCTGAGACATCTTCTCGTTAGGTTAGAAAGCACTGAGAGGGTCTTGCCTTCTTAACTGCCACCAGCGTGAGTAATCTAGAGTCCAAACATTCTCCAGACGTCGGAAGAACTGTCCAGCGAGTGCTTCCCCATTTCCACATTTCCTTAGCGCCAAGCGGTGGGTCAGGACACCCCCACCCAGCTGGTGATGACAGCCGAGTGATGCAAGAGTGAGCAACAAGAGGGAGAGAGGAGGCTCGTGTAATAAAGCAGGGAGGGGCCGAGGCGGGGTATAAATAACTATTAGGGGGTTCGGAGCAAACCTGGGGACACTGTCTTCTTGAGCGAAGGTGCAGAATCCTGCCCCCCACCCCACGGTCCTGGCCTCAGAAACTCCATGGGGAATATCAGTCCTGAGCCCGGGCTCACCTCCCACAGGCAGCTGAGCTACCTTTAGTCAGAGGGGCCTCTAGGGACAGCAGGGCGAGGGACCCGGATTGAGAAGCCTAAGGAACTAGGCTTCTTTTTCCTTCCCTAACGGCTCCAGGCGAGGTGCAGTCCCCCACCGTCCTGAAGCAGAAGGGCCTCCATCTGTTCGTCTAGAACCTTCTTTCTCCCCCCTGTCGTGCGCCTAACCATAGCCACTGACTCTACCAGGTGTTCTCAAGGACAAGACTGAGCTGCAAGTTCCATACTCTGCTGACCTTCTTCTACATGTCCCAGG